ACACACATATAAAAAACAAAACTCTACTTATATATATATATATATATATATATATATATATATATGAGGAGGGATCTACTTAATCTAATAATAAGTCTATCTAGACTTATTTCACTCAATAACTCATATTTTATATCAAATTTTAATGATTTAACCATTAAATTAAAAGTTATTAATGCATATTAAAAATTTAAAAACTATTTGATACTCCATTACTTGATGCAAAGCAATAAATAATCATAAAAATATTTTATACGTTAATTTGAATTAATGAAACTAAGTATCAAATATTTTTTATATATATATTTTTTTTTATAAATTTGATGTATACATTAAAAACTTTTAATTTAACATTATGATAATTTTTACTATATTTTACTAAAAAAAAAAAAAGAAGTTTTAAAATTGATGAACTAGTCTAACCATAACTCATTGGTTTGATGGTTTGACCAGCTAACTAGTTAAGTCAAGTATACAAACAATCAAAAAAGAGACTCAAACTTGTTGGACCGTCGATTCTCGATTAAATCGATCGGTCTGAACTAATTTTTAATACTGTTTTAAAACACTTGAATCACCAAAGTTAGTTAGTATAAATAGTCCAACATTTATATTTTTTTAACTAAAAATTGAAATTCAATTTTTGACTTGAGGATGAAGTAATGACCAGAAGTACATATCATTTTATTGTTATAACGATCAAATTAATAAAATATTTTTTTATTAAAAAAATCATATGAATAAAAATTTGTGAACCTATGAAAAGGAATAAAAAAGTAATAAGAAAATGGTGCAATAAGATAATAAAATATATTTTTTATGTTTAAACAATATCAGTATTTAATTTTAATTTGAAAGATATAGTAACAAAGTTGTAAATGCAACTAATTTCAAAGGTAGGAAGCACAAGTGTCCTATATATTGTTATTAAAATTTCTCTTGCATTTGTTACAGGAAAGATACTGGATGGAAGCAATGCTGATGTTGCAGTGGATCAATATCATCGTTATGAAGTAAGAATATGAGTTAGTTGGTGGTTAAATTACTATGTAATATTATGTAGTTTTTTTTAAAAAATAATTTTAATCATAATCACTTCAAACATGACTAAGTCTAGTCTTAAATTAATTATTGATTGTTAAAATATTACATATACTATGTTTATAAGAAAAACAAAAACATGACTAAGTTTACATTTTGTATCTTGTTATTTCCATATTGATATTTAAGAAAATCTAATGTTATAAAAGAATCAACATATAAATTTACCAATTTAGTTAGACTAAATGTCATAATTGACCCTAGACATAACTATATTGTAGAAGTCACTATTCTAAACTCTAGATCCCTCAATAAAGGAGCTAAAACAACATCAAAGGAATTCATGCATCTCAACTATATTTTTAATTAATATTTGTTTAACATATTTTACTTGTAAATTTTGGATCGTTTTGTTATTAGGAAGATGTACAACTCATGAAAGACATGGGAATGGATGCATATAGGTTTTCAATTTCTTGGTCTCGAATTTTACCGGGTAAGACTTAGTACAAGCATACTAATTATTTAATATTTATGTTATACATTACTAGCGTAGAAAATACTTTTTTTTTTTTTTTGTCTTCGTGAAAAAATGAAAAACAATAAATGCCTGATATTATAGAATGAAATTAATAATTTTTTTTTTTTTTTGTAATTTATAAAAGATAGTTATAAATGTAAAATTGTCAAAAAATGTGGACACCAAATGTGATCATTTTCTTTATACAAGGTAGGATATATATATATATATATATATATAAACAAAATTAACTAAGTTATATGTTTATTAAAATGTTAGTTAACATCATTTATTTTTAATAATCTCACTTATTTTTTTTTACTAAACTGTTATTCATTGAACTTGTTATTAAAAATAAAAATGGAATATATTTTAGAGATGATGTCATTGAACAAGGTAAAAATTAAAATTTATTTATATTTGAGTCTAGTAGAATATTTCTCCTCTCTATATTTAGTGTGTGCATGTGTGATTAGTTACGACTTACTTATATTTACCATTCATTAAATTTGAGTTAAGATATAGTTGAGATTTATTTATATTTTAAGTCTATCATTCATGAAATAAAAAATCATGTTTTTTTTTAAAAGAACATCTCATATATTAATAAAATAAAAGAAAGAAATTATACAAAAGTTTTACACAAAGTAAAACAAGGATCTCCATAAGTAAAACCGCCTAAATCCAAAAAGATATGTACTCAACCCACTAGCTAACTCCCCAAAATACAAAGTCATGAGTCAATGCATCAAGATGCATAAGTAAAAATTGGCCTACAATCATTCCTATACATCCATCAATGCCAACAAAAACTTCTCTAGTGAAAGAATCAAATGGAAAAATTATAACAAGGAAAAACATTTCTCATTCTCATTCCTTTATCAATCATGTTACCATTTCCATCTTCAATTAACACTTAAGCAAATATTTTATTTTGCTATTATACAATGTTAAATTGTTTAAGTTTAATATTTGTCATTAACCTTGAAATTATGATTATTCTAAGCATTGAATTCAAACAAAAACATAATAAAGAAACATTCTAATTATAGATTTTAATGTGTCAGATGGATCTGGTGAAATTAACCAAGCTGGAATAGATCATTACAACAAACTCATCAATTCTTTATTAGCCAAAGGTAATATTTTTTGTTTTAATATATGATCACTAATAATATTTTTTTAGAAGTTAATACGTATTAATTCATACATATGTGCTTTACCTGTATATGTCCAAAACATGTTGTCAAATGACTCTTGCATAATCTATGCTTACTTTACCTATATATGTCCAAAACATGCTGTCAAAGGATTCTTTCATAATCTATACTAAACATATTACTGATATATTAATTGAAGATCCAAAGATCTTTGTCACTCCTTAAAAAAAATACATAAAGAAAAATTGATATCAGAATACAATATTAGTAGGAGTGAGCATATCATTATTATATTGAAAATATGGATTTATTTGTATACATACATGTACACCTTTTGAGAGTCTAATTGTTATGAACCATAATATATACATATTTGTAGGAATTGAACCATATGTGACTCTCTACCACTGGGACCTACCCCAAGCCTTGGAAAAGAAGTATAAGGGATGGCTTAGTCCTATGATTATGTATGAAGTTTAATTTACATATTATTAACTTATCTTTAACTTCACAGTGTTATTATGATTATAGTAATACATAGAAGTGATATTTGATTTTTTTTCTTTCATATATATGTATCAACAGAAAAGACTTTGCAACGTATGCTGAAATATGCTTTAAAAATTTTGGAGATAGAGTGAAACATTGGATCACTTTTAATGAACCTCATACATTTGCTATGATGGGATATGATCTTGGATTTGAGGCTCCTGGAAGATGCTCTATTCTACTTCATCAGTTATGTAGGAATGGGAACTCTGCTACTGAACCCTACATCGTGGCTCATAATGTCCTTAATTCTCATGCAATAGTAGTAGATACTTATAGGAAAAAATACAAGGTAAAGTAAAAAAGAAAAAAAACTCAAATATAATAAATATTTAGAGAATGAAATGAAGAGAGTGATGAATTTAATTAATTTGGATTTTATAATTATAATATAATTGAGGCATTGTTAAAAATGCAACGAGAAGAATGAAATTTATCAAATAGAAAAAATATTTGTAAAATTTAAAATTTCAAATTGGGCTATCAATACATTTTGAAGATTCATGAAATAATAAAATATTTATTTTTAATATATTTTTATTTATAAAATTACAAATATATTTATGTTAAATCTTATTTTCAATTTTATTCTTATTTTTAAAATTTATATTTTTATTATTTTCATTGTTTTCTTCACAAAACTAATTAAGAAAATTTAAAACAAAACATTACATTATCCTTTTAGGTATGTGCAAATTAATGTAAATTTTCATGTTTGTATTTTCTTCATATTTAATGTACAATACTAACTAATGATATTCTTCTATAGAAAATACAAGGTGGGTCTATTGGGATATCTCTAGATGTGATTTGGTTTGAGTCAGCAACAAATTTAGAAGAAGACATTCAAGCAACTCAACGAGCTTTAGATTTTCAATTGGGCTGGTAAATATTTTGCAAAACCTCATACATTTTTATATTATTTAGTGTAGATTAAATAACTTTTAGAAGAAAAAATATATTTCAAAATAACATTTTTTAAGGTATATTCTTGATTTTGCTTTTGTTGACACTTGATCTTAAGGCCTTTCATATATAACTCTAAGTGGTTGAATTCTTCTTAGGTTTCTAGACCCATTGGTTTTTGGAGATTATCCAACCTCCATGAGAAGTAGAGTTGGGAAAAGGCTACCAAAATTTTCTAAATCTCAAGCTAGTCTTCTTAAAGGTTCACTAGATTTTGTGGGCATCAATCACTACACTACATTTTATGCAATGCACAATACTTCTAATATTCTTGGAGTTTTACTTAATGACTACATTGCAGACTCTGGTGCCTTTACTCTTCGTAAGTTAAAACTAAAGCTTATTAATCCATCCCTTTAATTTTATATGTTATTTGAACTAGTGTTTGATTAATGCACCTAATTGAAGATTGTTTTGTTTGTGGTTTTTACTCCTTTCAGCATTTAATGGTACCAATGTTATAGGAGATAAGGTAATCTTTATAAGTGAGAATATATTTTTATGCTTTAAGTTAATGTGATGTTATTTGACTCACAAATGACCTTTTACTATTAATAATGAAGGAAGGCAACAACAATAGAACAAAAACAACAACCCTAATAAGTTATATCAAAGATTCATGTTTTCTTTTTTATTAATAGAAATTATAATTTAAATGACAACAATAAAATTCCAATATAATACTCTGTGCATAGTGTTCTAACCGCTTCCATACCTTATAAATAAAAAGTTTATGTTTTGTCTTCAATTTTATGTTATTTTATTTGTATTAGGTTTATATGAATTGAATGAGTCATAAATGTGATATTCTCTTTGAGTAGCCAATACTTGGTATTGGTATAAAAGTATTTTTTATTTATTAAAAAGTAAAATTATAAAATATAAGAAGATAGATTGAATTGTTTTATATTGATATTTTTTAATCATATAGACTTTATTTTTTTTTCACAAACACTATAAAAACAAAACTACACAAAAGAATCGATTAAAACATGATCAATTGTTTGAAAATTTAGACAAAAGTTTTGAGATAAATTCTTTTTATATATTGTTAAAATTTTTCACTTTGTTGATGATTTGAGTTACAAAGAAATATCCTTAATTCTCAAGTATTCTTTTATAGACATCTTTCAATTAAAATAAAATTTAGTCTTTAATATAAGTCTCTTTTTTCAACCTTCACACAATCCCTGTTACCCAGGAAACAAAATGCAATCTTTTAAGATGTTATAATTTATATAATCATAATTAAAACTCACTCTCAAAATATTTATACAAAAATGAAAGAATAAAAACAGAAGAATTAATGTATATGATTTTATAATTTCCAGCAACAATTTTTTGAGATTCATTGCATATTTTTGAGAGGTGTAACATCTTAAAATTTGAACATAAACTCTATGAATTTAATGCATATTAACAAGATCATATTTCCAAATAGAAAAATTATTTTAACTAGGTCAAGAAATAAAGATAGCAATGTACTTTGTTAGGAAGTTTATTAATTAGCTTAGATAAAAGATACTTTAAACAAAATACTTTTTTTGTGATGTCTCCTTTTTACATGTCAAGTTTAAAATTGAGAAGTATTATTTATTTACTAAATTTGACTTAAAATAGATTGAGACATATTCTTAAAATCTTGATATTCAATTGATCGATTTTCTTTCAAATTATTTAAAAGGATTAAATATCAAACACTTTATTCACTACAAAAAAAAAATTGTCATGCATGACACATATTCAATAAGAACACATTATTTGTCATTAAAAATTACTTTTACCTACATTATAGATACAATTTATGTTAATATATTGTTAAAAAGTGTAAGTATAAACTATAATAACATATAATACATATTGTCGAATCTCATTCAAAATTAATATTAAAATTATTATGTAAATATATATTAAATAGATTTATGTTTATATATATTGTATTTATAATAATATTTTTTATACATTATTATATGTAACATTTCTTATGATGATATTATCCACTTTATACTTTCAAATTATTTGAAAAATATAAATATCAAACCGTTGTAACTTATGTAGACTTACTACTATAATTTTTCTTATTACATGCGATTTTTCCTGTAAATTTTTTAAAAAAATTCGCAGGAAATGTTCCTACAAATTTTTCTGCGAAATTTTATCTGCAGGTAATACCTTCGTGGATAATATGTTTTTGCGAATTTTAAAATTCGCAAGAAATTTTCCTGCGAAATTTCTTACGAAAAAAATTTGCAGGAAAGTTTCTTTAAAAAAAAAATTCGCAAGAAAGTTTCCTGTGAATTTTTTCGCAATAAATTCTGCAGGAATATTTTTTACGAAAAAAATTTAAGATATTACTATAAATTATATCAATAATTCTTCAACTTTTAAATGTTCACAATGAATTCATCTGAAACATTTGTTTCCACGCTTCCAACATGTGATACATAATCTTTTAAATTCTAAGATTGTAGAGTATAAGCCTAACACTCAACCATACAAATCAACTTGTAAGTTAAGTGTTGTCCCAACTTATATACTCTTTAATTGTTTTATTTTCAATCGATGTGGGACTTGAAGTTTTTTTAAAATATTAAACTTATAAATTTAAATATTTTTTTAATTTTTCCTGCGGATTAAAATTGGCAGAAAAATCTGCAAGAAAAGTTACCTGCAAAATTTTTCTACCATTTAATAAACATTACTTGCTATTTTTTTTTTGCAAGAAAATCTGCAAGAAACAAAATAAAATTTTTACCATGGAAAAAAATTTCTATAATCATTAAAATTGTAGCAAAATTTACAAAAATTTCTTGTAGATTATTTTTCATAAAAATTTGTAAGGAATATTTGTAAATTATTTTTCGCAAAAAATTTTTGCAAATACTTTTTACAGGAAAAATCACAAAAAATTTCTACTAATATTTTCTTGCAAGAAAATAACATTTTTCTAGTAGTGACTTAGTAAAGTTACATAAGTAGTTTATTTTTAATTCATCAAAATCAACTGTTTATCTTCATCAAAATTACATAATTAGACAATTTAAACTCTAATATTTATCAATCATGGTAATGAAATTTGAATTATGACTTGCAGGCAAATTCTATATGGTTGTATATAGTACCACACGGGATGAGAAACACAATGAATTATATCAAACATAAGTATGGAAATCCTCTGATCATTGTCACAGAAAATGGTAATTATAAAAACTATAGAGCAAATTTTAGTTTACCTTAACCCTCAAAAGTTGCATTTGTAGCTACTATAAAAAAATTACATTTTAGACGTAATATAATATATATGTAGAAAAGCATGCATCGAGGCATAATTGGTTTTATTATACTCTCTTTGTCCTATAATAAGTGTTGTGATAGTTATTTTATATAGATCTACAAAAATTAATAAGTAAAAAAAATACTTTCTTTGTCCTATAATAAGATTTTCCTCTATGCTGCCACTTCTTTTTCTACTATACAATTTGTTTGACTTCTAAAAATAAGCACGTTTACAACTAAGGGTGAAGATAAGAAATATAAAGGTTACTTGATTAAACAAAATTGGGTTGGACTAGTTTGAATGCATGATTGATTTAAAATGTCGCTTAGCTAGAATCACCATTAGGTTGGTTCATCTATTTGTCAGTTGAATCAAGTTTTTTTTATACCATTTTATTTACTTTGAAATATAGTATATATATACATAATTTCTACATCCCATAATGTAAAATGAATTTGATCATGTATCATACCCTTTTATTTAATCAATCACATACTCACACTTTCTCACTTAACACAGGTATGGATGATCCAAATGATCCATCTATCTCCATCAAAGATGCTTTGAAGGATGAGAAAAGAATTAAATACCACAATGATTATTTAACTAACTTACGAGCATCCATTATGTACGTAACATCTTTTATTCTTTGTATATATTTTAGTACCATAGGTTAATATTTACTATAATTTATCAAGCTAATAGAGTTTTAATGTGATTGCTCACAGTGAAGATGGATGCAACGTAACAGGCTACTTTGTGTGGTCACTACTAGACAATTGGGAATGGCAATCTGGATTCACTTCAAGATTTGGTCTATATTTCATTGATTACAAAGACAACTTGAAGAGATACCCAAAACATTCTGTTGAATGGTTCAAGAAGTTTTTGAATTCAACTTGATGACAAACATGGTTTACATGTAATAGGAAATGGGGAATGTAACATGATCTTTGATTCCTAGAGTTTGTGATGACTTCTTTGTAATAATGGGCCTAAAGAAATTGAAACAAAAGTCTTTCTATTGGGTTAACTCGTATGAGAGTTTTGTTTTTGTCATTGATCGTATTGGACCTCTTACAAATGGGTCTTTCCAATTTCCCCTATTTATTTATACTTTACATTTGAAAGAAAAGTATTAGCCCATTACCCAAAAATCATTCCCCCATGTTTCCATTTAGGGTGTTAATAAACCGATCAATCCATTAAAATAATTGATCAAAAAAAAAAAAATCAAAAATTGAAACTGAAAACCCCAAAAACTAAATAATAATAATAAAATTAGATCAGATTTTGGATTTGATTTTGAAAATTTATCTACTCCAATCCAAACCGAATTTATTTATACGCGTATATTTTTATTTATAAATTTATGATATCACTCATATTTTTACATTTTAATTTTTTTTATAGTTTTTTTAAATTATCACATAATTTTTATTTATCTTTAAAAACTATTTAATTAAATATTAACTATTTGAATAAAGGTATATGTAATAAACACCTATAATAAATGCTAACAATATTAAAAATTGTGAATTCAACTAATTTGACACTTATGCTCCTTTCTTAATCAAGAAATAGGGTTTTAATTCCTATTTAGGATATAGAGTTGCAACTAAAAGTATCACTTTATTTTTATAAGAGTTGACCTAATGAACAAGAATTAAAATGAATTATCAATAATTAAAAATAATTTTTTTTGTGAAATAAAATAGTAGAAAAATGAAGACACTCAAAATACTAGATAATAGGGTGCTAATGGGATGCTAGGGTTGCCAACCGAGGCACATGGTCAAATTTAGGTAGGAAAGTGACATCAAGGGGATTTGAATCCCACCATAAGGAAGATGAAAGTTTGGTCCAAAATCTTAACTATTTGTATCAACCTCATTTGCTTAATAATATTGTGTTATTATATAAATTATTTATCTCAAATTTCAAAATAATTTTATATAAATTCAAACATAATTTATATATTCAAATATAATATTATTTATATATAATTCATTATAAATTTTATATATAATAAATATTAGCATGTGAAATTTACAAATTAAAATACCCATTATAATGTTGGATAAATTTGTTTTCAATTGTCTATATTTAAATAGTTATACTCTTATTGGCTATATAATAATTTATAGATGAGAAATTTGATATTTTAATTATGTTTAATATATGTCTCACTATTTATTTAATACTTTATCTGGAAAAAAAACTAAAAATAAACTTAAAATTCGATTCAGTTTTAAATTGAATCGGATGATAGTGAATTTAGTTGAACCAAAATAATTGAATAATAAATTAAGAAAATCAAAATAATTGAATCAAATTGATTTTTCTCTTGAAAACCGACCATTCTACTACAGAAACATGTCTAGTTTGTATAAATCCATCATGAGCAACTGTGGCCTCTTCATTATTAGCAATTTTTAGTCTATATAGCAGCAAAAAGCCAAACCAAATCCTCTAATTATATGCAACAATGCTGAAACATGCTTGATCCACACAACCAATCAGACCCAAAATTCTAAATATGCATGTTTAGGCCCAAAATGGATTTACCTTAATACCCACCTGGTCCAAAATTAAGAAAGAAACACTCCAATTTAATTTAATGCCAACACACTGATAACTATTTATCAAAGTTATACTTATAATGGTATTTAAATGTTTTATTTTTCTGTCCAAAGCAAGAAAAAGGTGTGTCAAATATAAGAACTAACAAATAAAATTTTCTTATAGGATATAAATTGTAAAAGAATCATGTATAAACTGATAAAAAAAAATGTTATGTATAATGATAAAATGTAATGTTTCTATAGAAATAGACAGGTGAAAAAAAAGTTATGTTTTTTTTTATTAAATAAAAAATATAATACGAATATATTGACAAATGCTAGAACCAATTCTTAAATGTTTTTTAAGTAGGGATCAAAATGTAAGAGTGTTTTATTTAAGGATTAAAATGAAATATCGTATAATGTGTATGAATTAAAATTTTAATTCAATATAATATCCAATAATAATTACCTATATTTAATCCTAATTTGAATTGATTTTATATTTTAAATTTGATACATTCTATTGGTAACAAATCAATGAGACTGTTTATATTTCTCAATGCAAATTAGTCATAGATAAAACAAATTGATACTTTATATACCTATAATATGATGGAAAAAAAAACGGTAAACATAAAGATTATGTGCATATATTTAAATAATTTATATAATTTGTCTATTAATTTTAAAATTTTGTGTTTTTAATTTATTATTATATATACAATACATAAGCTGAAATCTTCATTAGTTATAATTAACACGTTTCTTATTATGTTAATTATGTCTTAAAATATATAATTTCACTATTATTATAAAAATATTAATAATATTTTTATCAATTTTTATACAATCAATATATATTTTAAATTTTATTTACATTTAAAAATATTCCTCTGCGGGTAACTTTTTCGAGATAACTTGGTTGCTTATGTTTTTCTTATACTATGAAAAACTTTGAAATAAGCATCACCTAATTAATTACGTTATTCTTTCATTGAAGCCTATTTGTGTAGGGGATTACAATAATTTTTCCTTCAAATTTTCTATATTGCATAGGTTAAATTTTATTAATTATCTATTTTAAATTATTTTTGACTAACAAATAACCATGAGTTTTTTTATCTCTTATTTATTTTACGGATTGAAATATCTCACTTTCTACAAAAAGTAACAACTATTTGATTCTGAATTTTTTTCACTTCAAAGAAAGAAAGTTTCTTTTCTTCTTTCTATTAACCAATTTAATTAGGGAATTTCTTTTCAAAACGCAGGAGCATAAAAAGTCTCCTTATCTCATCAAGTTTGAAACTCAAAATCCGTGTCTCCAAATGGAAAATTTCAACAACTTTTATCACACAAAATGGCTATCATGTTTGACATCTGATTTTTCTCCATTTCATTTATAACCATACTTTCTCTTATGTCACCATAAAATAAAATACAGGGAAGTCAATGTCAATCTACAAAACAAATAGGAGAAATACTTATTTTTTCTCAAAGAATCATAAATAATAAATTAGTGGGTCAAAATTAAAAGTGGACAATTAATAAGGGTTTTCCATTTGTTATGCATTCATGACGTGATAAATTAGCTATACTAACGCACTTTAATTTGTACTCTATTACATCTAATATTGATCAGAAAACAACCTATGGTTCCCTTAAGATACAAGCATGTCATGTTTCTCAAACGCAGCAAATCTCGTGCTTTTGTCTACGTTTTTTCCTTTAATTTACGAAACGTGAAATGACACACCAACCATTTGGCTCAATAATATTGTACCTTCATTTGACTAAAATCCAAGTGAAACTTCAAGTGGAAAAAGGGTGAACAAACAAGTGCCGGTTTAGCTCGGATTTGAAAAGGAAAAAGGACTTCAAAGTGATTAAAATCATTAGGTATGATTTAGTTTACTTTGGTAAATGTTTTTGCCAAACCATACAACAATGTTATGTCACAATCAATCAACAAACAAACGAAACTTGGTGCCGAGAAAATTAGAAAAATCGTAACTCAATATTATATAGGTTCAAGCTAAGATTTAAGCATGGGGACATGAAATGGGGATGTCAAGCTAGGGCACACAAGGGCTAGTTACTTTATTACCAAGCTATGGCCTATACATATTTATAATGTATTTATTGTTGGATACAAACCAAGTTTAATATCATTAGAAGATGATGAGAAATAAAATTTATAAAATATAGACCGTCATTAATAGTATAAAATCTTTTGAGAAATAATCAAAAACAAAAATTATAAAAACTTAAGTTCAAAATAGACAAATATCATATTAATGAAAAGACATGTGTGTGAACCGTTAACACTCATTAATCATATCATAATTGATAGTCAATCAGACAATCGACTCAAAATCTTAAATAAATATTTAATAATAAGAGGCAATGAATCTAACTATAAAATTTTCTTGTGTTAAAAGTTTTTCTAACGGTATGAACGAAGTTAAACAACTTGTTTGAGGGAGGTCATATGACTTTTTTTTATTCTTTTATTTATGATTAGAGTTAATCTAATAATAAAGAGTTTTGATAAATTGTATGAATCCCAAAGTTCTATCCTCACTATCATTGCGCGAGCAAGGTTTGAAACAATTTGGTTGGGAGTGTGGATATGTAATGTGTCAATTGGAACTCAAAGTATACGTAGACATGCACAAGAGGAAAATGATAAGGTCAACGGGTTGGGTTTTCCTTGAATTGGTTTAAATAGCGGAATCATTTTATTTATGGAATTATTTAATTGGTTTGACTAAAAGATTGGAAATTAAACTTGAGTTTAGGCTCTTTACGTTTCTTAGAAACTTTCCAAGAGGTCACATTGAGTAGAAAAAACAAAAAGGGTCAAAAAAGGGTAGTGGCATATTCCATGAAAAGAGGTCTTTGCAATGGTTAAGTGATACATCACCAACCTCACATGACTTGTTAGCATTACGTTAATCTAGCCAACACTTACGGAATAAATGGATGAGCAAAGATATAGAGAAAGAGAAAGATGAAAAACCCTTTTTTTCTCTTTTCTACCCAAGTCTTTGAATTTCTACCAAACTATTTTTTAATAATTTCTTAGTACGAACAAATACTTTAATTGTGAATAATAAAAATTATAATAAGATTTCACTGAAAATGGTTAGTTAAGCTTTGGTAAAGTTAGTATATATTTTGTACATATAATATAATTAAAAATTAATAACTATTTCATTAACTTTTATTTAATATACTATTTTATTTTTATCATTGAAATTAGGATTCAGTTTCGAACTTAAGATCATGTACATGTTATTATTCCATAACATATTAAAATATATTTTCAAAATTAAAATTGTGGCAATCTAATGAGTACAAAATTGTATAATATCTTGAATGTAATGATTTTTATGATAACTTTGTCAAATTTAAAGACT